TTCCTCTTCTTCCTCATTTCCAGTCCACTACCTAACTCTCTTCTCACGGTCTTGTATTTCTCATCAGAAATTCTCATTCTGGTTAAATACATCTTTTTAGAAACAGCAACTGGTATGCTGTCTGTTCATAAGAGTGTAATATTCGGAAACTAAGTCTACGGAACGCCGAAGTTTATACTGTCACGATGTCAGTCTATCTTTTATATTTCTTACAGGTGCAAATTTTAACGGAAATGAAAAGAAACATTTTTTGAGCGTTCATAACTTTTTATCTAGTCCACACTTCAGGTCATATACTCCTGTCTTAGGTAAAAAGGAGATTCACACAACACAGGACACGTATTGTAATAAAATAATGAGATACCGCTATTTGTCATCCACCACTTTTCCTTTCTGCGCCTAGTGGCAGATTCCAACACGTCTAATGTTGCGTGCTTAGCAGCCCGTACGTGACTCGTGTTTACTTCTATTTACTACTTATATCAGGTGTATCAGTCCAGCACGCAAGTAAAAAAGTAAATTAAAAAAGCCGATATCATTTTTATCCAAATTGAAATCAATTCGCTGAAATTATGAAACTTTGACGTGGGTCGCAGAAGACGTCAATCGCTCATAATTCTATCGCTTATTAAATCTTATAAATGCTGTTGGCTACTTACTCAGCAAATTTGCAAATTACGTCAGGTGATTAAAAAAGAAATATGTCTTTAATGCGTTCCATTTAATGTCATTCAAGGTAAAAAAATAACGATGAGCTGACAACCGTCACTGACAACCAGCAAACACTGCGGCTTTAATTATGGTCTTGTAGCAGCTTGTACTGCATGATTGGTCTCGGTTATAGAATACGTGATCAATTTACGTTTACGTGTAAATAACGAAGCATATCTTATTACTAAAGTGTCTTATGTGATGTAAGAAAGATGAAAAATATAATAGTCAAATCCTGCTGATACGGACATTGAGTTGGCCATAGAAGGTGTCCGTATTAACGGGATGTTCGTCTTAGGCGGGTTGAATTGAGCTGGAGAAAATGTCAAGGCTTTTTGCCCAGAAGACAAAGCAAACTGTCCACCGAGATAACGATCGAGTTGTAGTATCAAGCGGGTGTCCCGCTGTAAAGCAGGGCTCGACTGTTTGCCATATACTAAAGAGACATTTCATCATACGTTAGTAAAGCCATCGTCTTCCAAATTATAATCAGCAACAGCATCATGACCGTCATCAGATGGATTAACATTCAAAATCATTTAATATATGTATTGACAATTTAAAGTATGTCATATTTATAATTGAATTTGCGCGGTTAAAAGGACGCGAACGTGGGAACGAAATTCATAATGGTTTCTAGAATTTGTCATCACTCAGAATCGTATCCAAAATTGAACGCAGGCGTCTCCATAGTGAGTGCTAAAAAAGGAAACATTAAAAATAATGTGACTCAAGTTAAAGCGTACACAACAATAAGAAAATAGATAACAAACTTGCATGTAAAAGTGACTTGCATTTTTTGTTCCCGTCTGTGTCTAGCGATCCATTCATTCCTAAAATCTCCTAAACCCACAAACAATATTTCCCTGTGTCAGTGGAACGCAGGTAACCCTTCTGCCTTCCTCTCGACTCTCTTTCCTTCCCATAAGTGCTGAGAAAATATAATATAAAAAGGTTGTGGTCAGTCTATCCTGTTTTGAAGAAGAAAACACAGAATGCAATAGGAGTAAAGAAGTCTTCAATCTACTGTTGACATATATAAAAAACGTGAAGTAAATTTAGCGCAACGACTGATGCCTTTATTAATCATACATTAATTAGCTGTAGTGAGTTACTGTTCGAAAAAAGTCAATTTTATCTAACTTGTTACACTTACTGATCGAATGGCGGATCCAGGGGAGGGACCCGGGGGCCCGGGGGCCCGGGGGCCCGGGAGCTCGGCCACCCCCTTATGTTTAGACCAAACTGAGACCCGAAGGACCGAAAAAATTTTTTTGAGACCGACCCTCCCCCCCTCCCGTTTTCTCAGGGTCTGGATGACCAATCCCCACCCTTATCTGAAGGTGTGGATCCATTTAAAATCAATTCGTGATCATGTCGTCAGATATACCTCCCACTTAAGGTTACTAAAGCAACCTCTTGGATGATTGTCTTACATCGTTTTATACGAATGCCTCGTTTGGCTTACCTGCAGGCTATTGATCTCTCTTCGCCTCGGCCGAAATGAAAGACAGCTTTCACGACATGAATGTATCACCTCTGGGCGTTTCTTGTTAATGGGTCATTTCTTTGGATGCACTCATGAAGGTTAACGACTTCTAGGCCTTTTTCTTCTATGTGAGAACATGAGAGCACAAATTAACAGCACCGGGCAACAGAAAACAGAACCCCCCTGTAAAGTAGGTTTTCATTATAGAAGCAAGCATAATGTCTTAAGTCAAGGAAAAGTTTGATCCTTGCACTTACGTTTGATATATACTAACTTACCTTGCTGGCAAGACAAGTATATCGAAATGATTGTGACTCTATGCTTGTGCTTACATCTACGCAATGAAGTACACACTGTTGTTACCCTCTTATGCTGCATTGCTAGTGAAAATTAGCTCATGATCATACTCGCGGATCAGAGCTGATTACAACTGAGCGAACGAACACGGTTCAGCTTCTTGTGAAAATTATTTTTTGTTGTACTACAGCTTTGCGACCTTTGCAAAGTTGGTTTCTTGCTGTAGATATTTTAGAAACGGTTAGAAAATATTTAAGTTATATTCGTTGTAAGTTCCTGTTTTAAGTAAGTTTCCTGTTGCTGAGGTTTCGATTTTAGTAATAGTTTGTTTTTTCCCCAGCAAACTCCTTGCTTAGTTTTACGGTGCTTTTAATGTTAGTCATAGTTTTTGATGCTTTACGGTTTCTTTGCATTTATTAATTTGTTATTTAAAGAAGCTAATAAAGCGGGAAATGTATAATCGAAAACATGTTAAGAGAAAACCAGTTTAGTGCCGCAAATTAGAGAAACACTACTTTAAGTTTCTAAACACCTATACAGCAGAGATTGTAATTTTTGCTCTTATTTCTGAGAAATAAGTAATCGATCGCATATAAGTTGCATATAAGTAGGCAATAAAATAACTCCCACGTTTTTTTTACTTCTGATCAATATTATTGACACGGCAACGACAATTCTAAAATTTAACCGAAATTTGGACATAGCGTTATAAAGGGACGAAGAGGTCGTTAACGGCATAGAGAACGTAACTGGTTGCTTTTTGTTGACAAGCTCTAAAAGCCCTGCAACTCCATATGACTTTTCTCTCAGTCAGTTTCTTATTAATTATCACATTAAACCGCCATTATGAAGATTTGGAGCAGCACGGTCGCACTTGGATAAGAAGAATTGAACTGAGTTTTTATTTGTAGATTAAACTATTCAGTCATTGCAAGTGATAAACATATTGGAGCGTTAATTACTACACTTTTCTCACTCTATTACTACAAGGCTGAGAATGACTGCCTCACAGCAACTTGGAATTTAAAATTGTAATTTAGAATGTTTGTAAATTTATACTCCCGTCGAAAAAAACAGGGACGAAAAAAAATTTATGAGTAATGTTTACTCTCACAAAGAAGCCAAAAAATTGCCAAGAAATTCTTTTTTTTCTGCTAATGCTTGAAAGAAATATATAAGTTACACTGCCCTGAATAGAAATGAAAGAACATTAAATGATTTGCATGTTTAATTACCACAGCTGGTAATAACATTTTATCAGATCAATTTGAAGTTGACATGTTGGCTGCCACCATTTATTGGAAAACAAAATTACATCGTTTGCGTTAGTTTGCCATGGTAACCTTGGGATGTTGTTGTTGCAAAGTGGTTCTCGCAAAGAAAAAAAGGTGCCGCTTTTTCAGAAGCATTAGAAAGCGCACACAATTTTTTTAATCATAGCAACGTCTTCATACCCTGTCATACGTCTGAGAGATGTCTAGCAAAATACAAGTGCTGTAGGTTTGCAGTTTGAATATAGTGAATAGATGGCGACGATTATTGCGGCCAAGGACACACCCTGAGTTTGTGAAACGAAAATTGCCATGTTGGAGTCATAAGCAGCGAATTGTTAAAAAACATTCGAAGAATATAAATTATGTAAACCACTTCTCACTTTCCGTCGATCCTGTCTTACTCTTGAACCGTTTGACTGACTCTCTTAACGTCATTACTATTCATTCTGTCTCCGCCGTTTAAAGCAAGCATGTGAACTCATTTCATTTATCTCAAGCGTATGGTAAACACAACGTTCCTTTCCCCCGATATTATTTTCACTGGAAAACTCCCTGAATTTCAATAAATAGAAAAGAAACACATGCGGTGACCGTTTATCCCGCTAATTCCTTCTTTATTACTCATCTTCAGCTTGCGATGAAGGCAAGCCATTATGAACGATAGACTGATAGCAATCCAAAAAGTCATTGCCCAAAACATGTATTACCGTTCGCCCATTTTTTCAACGAAAATTAATTTTTCATTGTGCATTTAAACAAAACTTTTCGCCCAAATCTCCCGCTATTTCTGTATCCCGCCCAAGAGGGCGAGCGAGATATGCTTGCCGGTTTATCGCCGTTTGTTATGCAAAGTTCGTTGTGATAAGAGAGAGCGAGTCTCACAACGGAAACATGAAAAATGTTCTATCGAGATCCACCGTCCTTGGCGTAATATTCATAACAAAATGGAACTGACGTCACAAAGGCTTTTGATAAACACAATTTTCATGAGAAAACGATTGGAAAGGTTCCTCCCTTTAACGATCTATTTCTCTCAAAAATATTCCTCAATACGCGCAAAGATAAGAGAATGAAGCGAGTTTAAGTGTACAGGGTCTCGCGGAAGAGCGTTTGATTAAACGGTTACGCTGCTAAACGTGCTGTAATTAGCGAAGCAACTTTAATGAAGATCCAAGAAGGTCTACTGGAAAAGGTCTATGAAAGACACCCTTTGCGCATGCCCTGTTGAACAGGTGTTGATTCTCGTAACGTACCATGCAATTCAAGACATATTGTCAAGCCTACCAACCAAACAACCGAGCCTTAGAGAGAGAGATCTAGTGTCGCTTAATTCTCAGTGATATGTTTTCGTTCGGGGCGCTTGGGTCGCTATTGGTACACGCGGCCAGCCAGTGATAACAAAACCGCTATGGAAAATCGCATCTATGGCTGAACTAACTTTCTTTCCCTATGTTACTTTGGCTTAATTATGGCATTAAGTCTCAACACAAAGAAGCTGATTATACGGATTGTGTTATTTCTCGTCTACCTTCTTGTTGGAGCTGCCATTTTCCAAGCAATCGAAATTCAGTATGAAAAGGACAAACGAGAAGAGCTTCAGTTCAATAAGGTCAAAGAAAATTTCACGGCTAGACACAATATTTCAGACCATGATATGAAAGAGTTCCTTGGCAAGCTCAAGAAGGCATTAGAGCTTGGCTTCGACTTGCAGACTGCGGAGTTTCAGCAACAGTGGCATTTTATGAACGCCTTCGTTTTCGCTGGAAATGTAGTGACGACCATTGGTGAGTGAGATCATGGGCTACAACTTTGTTGGGATAAATGATCTTCGATAAGCGCGCATTTTCACGCTCCCCCTAAAGTTGGCTTAAAACGTGCTAAGCGTTAATCTGCCTTAGCAACATACCGAGTGAGAGAGACGTAGATTATTCACCACATATCACTTGCAATTTAGCCAAAATCGGCGGTTAGTTAAGTACTGGGTTGTTTGATTGCATTGTTTACAAGAAGAAACGAATATTCGTCGATTGCGAACAGCTACAATTTTTAGGGAGTTGTGTCGGCATCATATGGTCGATTTCATATTCGGTCGATTTTGGCTATAACGCTGGGCAAGCAGCTGTGTGTTATGGTTGTTTAATATTTAAATTTTTGGGCCTTAAACGCGGCAAACAAAAAGCCTCTTCCAAAAAGCTTGTACGAACATGGCAAAGAAAAAAGTTTTAACTTGTTGTAGCTTTTAACTGTGGTCTCTTTTACACTAGTTATTAGGGTTTTTATTCACCTCACAAAATGGAATTGAATATGCCACAATTGGTCGACTGCGCATAAACATCTCAAGAGAACTTAAGAACCATCTTTTGTCTGCCGATATTTTAATTTTTCACCCTCGTATTCCATTCTTTAATATGTGGCTACGACGCGAAATACGAGCTCATAAGCCAGACTTATTTTAGTCTTCTCGGATGTTCACAATTTCCTCTCGGCGTAATCGTGTGTATGCATGGTTATATCATTACGCATTACGCACTCGCGACTTGTATTAAAAAAACCTACGCTGAGAGATAAAAAACGAAGAAACAAATTACTAGACTATTCAAAGGTCAATCATGGACAAGGAGACGGGAAAAAATCTTGCTTGCGGCGGACTTTATGAAATATTCCAGCCATTTGCCTAAAAGGGGTTTATTGTGCATATATTTAGCTACGTGTAAAGTTTATATTTTTGATGTCCTTGTTTTTATTTGACCCGCCTGGCGCAACCTTGCCACAAGACGCGATGTGGTAGTTTGCCACAACAAAGCCCTCAAATGTTTTAGACAAACAAGATAGGCCAGGGTTAAGTATTTCTAGGCTGCCATGCTAATTTATAATAATCAGCAAATAAGAAATTTGGCCACGATGTAAGAAACCGTGTCTTAGTTCTAGCTAGCAGTTGTACTGGTAACGTGAAGCGTGCTCAGACAACTAAGTTTTTATCATGGTTGTATTTGCGAAAAAATTGCGATGACAAAACACGAGCTTATAGTTTGAACAAATTAATAACAGCCTCGTCGGCTTTAAAATGGACTTGTATTTAACTTTACGTCGATTCCATACAAATATTTGAAGGAGCTTAACGCAGCTTTATGACATCTCGCGTGGTGAGTGATCATGGTAGAAAAGTCAACAGTCGCATCTTCCAATAATAAATTACTCGCGTTTTTGACAAAAAAGGTTATAAAAATCCTTACGACAAATTAGTAACAATAAGGTGCCCACGGATGGCTTGAGTAGAAAATATGATTTGTCGTGCAGTAAACGCTTGATGTTCTATTTCTTGGTAACGCTTGGTTTTGTATGTGTTTCTCTCCGCAGGTTATGGACATATTGTACCAGCTTCATTCTGGGGCCGCTTCTTTTGTATATTTTATGCATTGTTCGGAATTCCTTTGACTGGATTAACCCTCCGTTCTGTTGGAAACAGCATCTCCGAGGAAATTAGAATTGCTGTGAAAAACTTCGAGAGGAGAGTATACAACAGGGAAGCAGAGAAACTTGAAATCAAGACCGCAATCATTGCTTTTATTTTACTCATAGCTATTGTCGTCTTTCCAGCAATTGGTTTTCACCGTTTAGAAGAATGGACCTACTTTGAAGCCATCTATTTTTGCTTTGTAACTCTTACAACAATAGGGTTTGGCGATTTTGTGACCGGAAATGTGAAAAAAGAATATTCTGATGATGACGCAATTCCTATAGTTTTAGAGTTCCTCAACTTAATATACATGGTGGTGGGACTAGCGGTAATGTCAGGTGTTATAGTTTCAATTAGCGGCGTTATCGAAGAAAAAACGAAGAATATAGCTATGCCAGATCCTTTGGAATCTCTAAAAGCAATACAATATGCAAATCTTAACTCTAAAGCTATGCGAAAACTGGGCTATAAAATGGGTCCATCCCCGTCCAGCGATGATGCTCGGCAGCGACAACAACATCAGCGACCTCCGAAAACGAACTCATCCACGCCTTGTGCAATAGACCCAAGCTCTAATCTAGATCGCAGCCAGTCTGCGGATAAAATGGATTTTCAAGGGCCGACGCCTATACTACACTTGAATAAAAATAGCACCCTTTGTGATGGTACGAATAGCGCAAACGAATTGACAGAAGGTTCTAACAAGCCTAAATTAATGTTCAACAACAAAGTCGTACCCATGGTGTCGGACAGCGCCTGTGATTTACCCGACCAAGAAGAGCGGAGACATTCTAGAATGTCCTCGTTCGACAACAAGAGCGATAGTCACGATGAAATAGAACGTGAACTTGCGCCGAGTAATAGTAACACGCGAAGAAACACATTAACAGAGAAGACAGGAAGCAGGAATGAGCTGGTAGGTAGTGCACAAGTTTTACTTAGTTAATAATTTAAGATTAATAGGACTCGATGGATTCGCCGCTAAATTTATTATCAAAAAAAGCCCGTTTGAAGGTTGTGTTAACACATGTTATTCTTAACCTAAGGCTACAGTAAGGTTACAAAGTTCTGGCTTGGATTTTCCTATCTGCTTTGAGTTATTGCTAAGGGAAACACGCCTATTGAATTTAAAAAGGCCTCAGTTTTTTTTTAAAGTCGATTAGGATTAACTAATGGAGTTCTAAAGACAAGCTTTAATGACTTGCATGTGTTTTTTGCTCCGAATACGACGAAGATGTGTTGTTATTAAAAGGGAGAAGTTTGAACTTGTTTCTTTGCGCGTAATGACAGTCTTAAAATTAAAAAAATATGTATAATGTATTCTTTTAATTTTCGAATGAACTGGAAGCTTTTTGATATTGCCCATGCATGTCAAAAAATAAGCTTTACGAGAATTTTATACTCAACTAAGGTTGGGACAACACTCACAATCTAAAAGAAAATGTAGTAATTTTTTTCTTTTTGTGAAATCTCACATCTAGTGTTGTGGTAAAATATTTTTTTATGCCGATAAGCGTGGTTCCATCGAAAACAAAGACGCTACAGAATTAAACATAAGCATGTCAGTTTTTCAATAGGAGCACCTGCAAGCCAGTGTATTTAAGTCAGAAATGGTTAGAAATTACAATAAGCTGATCTCGCATCAATATTCAGTGCGTCGCTGAAGTTCTCTACTAAATGATTCTTGATAACAATAGTCCACCTTTTCCCATAATCTTGAAGTTTATTTATTGTTAATTTTTTAATGATGTTTTTCGCTGTATCTGCGAAACTGCCGTGGCATTGGTTGGAGAAAAACGAAGAACTTGCGCTGGCCGAAGCGAAAACTTGTATGCTAAATACGTAGGTCATCTTTTTTTAAGGAACTGATAATTCGCATACTGGGCTTTTGAGTTGGACAGCCCGTAAATCTTAAAATAATTACGCTGAACATTATATGTATTTCATAGAAAAGTTAAATGGCGGTCATTTGTTTAATACGCGTGCATGTTAGAGGCCAAGGACTGGTCTGATATCGAGTTTCACATTTGCGACTCAGTCACGTATATTTTTAGAGATTTTCCCGAGTGGTTATTTTAATTTATGACGTTTTCTTTTCTCAGCTGTTGTCTTGATGGTCTTCACGCATGCACACTAATAACCTGCGATCAGCAATACATCCAATCTCGTTTCCAAGGGCCGCGATCATTTTGGTCAGCGACGAGGATCTCTGACCAAAAAGGTCACAGCCTCTGGGAACGAGATTGCAGTACAGAAAATCCCTGAATAACAATGACTGAGGTTATGTGCCCGCGAGACTGAGCAGCCCTCCCAAAACCCTTGTTTTCACTAAAACCGCTAAACTACATTACATCAGGGGTAAACCTGCGTTCTGCGCATGACTGGCCTGGTGAGACCTAGTATTAAAATGGGGTTTGGCGTTTGCGAAAAATTTGAAAATTTTTGCTACCTTGTTCGCATCTGAGACACGCGAAATTTTTGTTGATGTTTTTGACAAAACACACTCCGAGTGGGGTGAAATATTATCTGCTCTATCCATAGGCATTAACAGCGACGACAAGTACGTCTTTAAAATTGAATTAAAAGAAGTAAACCATTGGTGCCCGTTTTTCCAAAGTGTCTCAATCGGGCCCGAAAACCAATACAATAGAACCGAATTAGTCAACGAAACAAGATATTTTGATTAGAAGGCTTCAACCCGCACTACAATCTGTTCAAATGCAGCAGTTTCTTAGGGGTCAATTTCTCGAAAGGCCTGGTACATAAACCTGTGGAATATTTCTAACCATAATCATTTTCTGCTCCATGGGTTCTAGGTGGTTCAAGCACAAATCACCCCTCTTCCAACACCTCGCGCTTCACCAGCGACCTCCCCTGTTCCAACAGAACACGAACATTTAAATCCAAGGGAAGAGCCTTCACTGGAGGTTGAAGAACAAAAACTACCTTTCAGTAGCAGCTTTGAACTATCAAATGAAAAACATGCTCTGCAAAATGAACTTCCACCCGTTGAAGTGATCGACAAGGGCGCTGTGACTTTAAATGGCTTTGCCGGTCATTCTAAGGAGTCATCGAGAGAGGAGAACTTAGAAATGACCCAAACGACTCGTCATACGATAAACAGGTAGCAAATAAAACGTGGAGAGCAATAATTCCAAGGTAATGCTTGGAAAAGGTGATCCGTGACCTGAAAGTGGATAGGATTATCCCGGAAGAGAAAAATCGTCAGCATTATCCCCAGTTACCTAAAATGTGTGGTCAGCTCAAGAAACCAAGCAAAAGTACCTTCTAAACACGCAAAGAAGTCGGTGAACGAGGTGAAAACTTGAAGATGTCTCTACAAGACTGCTAGGTGCTAGGAAAAGGAAACTGATTATGGATAAAGCAGACCTTAATGCAAGAACTGGTGGAGTCACCTAGCCCTCTCGCGCGTCAATGGCACCTCATCCCTTTTCTTGTCAGTGCCTGCCAGCTTGGTTATGAACCGAAAATATAGCACCTTAGAACAAGCGCCAAGGGTAAAGATGACGACACAAAATTGCCCACTTCAGATGCTCTAGGGAGAATGAGTACAAACTTTGGGTGCAGTGAATTCTGGGATGGTTTGTGTGTACAAGCGTTAGTTATGATTGGTCGATGGTATTTAAGACGACCATTAACCAGTCATAAGTAATACTTGTCCACCCAGAAGATTCCAGAAATCGTTGCGCTAAAAGACTGTACTCATTCCCCTCATAGTTTCTGCAATAATAACGCATTTGGGAGCGATGAGCATTCTATTGGAAAACCTTACCTACACTCCGTACTAGTCAACTTTGCATCGCATGGCCACAACAAATGTAGCACCAAGTCATGCTTCTTAAACGCGTTCCCTGTCAGAGGAGAGGAGACGTCGTTACGTCACCTTGCTATGGTAGCAAAATTTCTGGATCTCAACAAACCGTAGATTAGTCTCCTTCGCAGCCGTTTTTAGGCTCGTCACGCAACGTTCACCCGTTACGTGACGAGCCTAGCCTGCGAAGAACTAAACAAACCTTGGTCCTGCAAAAATGGCGGAAACAAAACGAATTAATTGCCATTTATGACTTTCCTGGCCTGTGCATGATCGCAGCCAGGAAATGAACCCGTAGCCCATACTTTCCTTCAAGCGTTCGTTTGTGCAAATGGCCACCTCTGTCGAAAGATTGTTGAGAGCCAGATTGATTGGTTGAGAGGTACAAATTTTGTTACTATGGTGAGGTGATGTCATACGTTTCCTCTCTATTCAGGGCCGGGTTCTTCGAAGCCGGGTTAGTGCAAATTTTGAACTCAGATATGAGGGCTTAAAAAGCCAATTCAGTTGAGCTCAGTTGAATTCTCTTTGCCTACAATTTGATGATTGGATATGCTAAAAAAAATAGAGAAAATTATCCGGGAGAGTGCTTTTAATAAAAAGAAAAAGAAACTCGGGTTAAAATTTAACCCCGAGTTAGCGCTAACCGGCGTTCGAACAACTCGGCCCTGAAGGCAAAGTATCGCGGTTTAGCCTTTTCATCGCACATGCGTGGACCGCCCCGATAGAAACGCTCCCTATTTTCCAGATTTATCCCCGATCATCCCAGACGATCGGGAATATCTACGATTTCGAGTTTTCATTAGTCAGCAAAATCTGGGACGGTCGGGAAATAGTAAAATTCCCGATCGTCTGGGATTTTCCTGACATATTAAAACCAGGCTTAAGTGCGGACAAGGTCATCTTGGACAAGAGCAAGAGGGGCTTGACAAGAGTTAATGCAACAGGAGAACAAATTATTGCGAATAGATGAACAATTGAATAAAAGAAATTAAAAAGGAGGAAATTAAATTTGAATAAAACTGTTCTTTACCAGAAACATTTTCTACAAATTTAGGAATTTTTCAAATATTATTGTGCCAGGGTGAGTATCTCAATCATGTGGCAATTTCAACAATCTAAATAACGGCAAAACTTTTCTACAGGTTTATAGCCACATTTTTATATTTCCGTCCTTTAAAAACTTGTTTTTTAATTAGTTTAAAATATTTAATAGATCCTCAACTTTAATATCTACACTGGCAGTCGCCAAATATGGCAATTTCTCAGTTTCAAACTTTAAATACAAGGATAATAAGGAGAACCATATTTTTGATTGACCGAAGTACCGTAAGTGATGGGATAGTCACTTGGAATCCGTTGAAGTTTACAACATTCAATTCTAAAGAGTTACTTATGATGTATTTTAAAAAAAGATAATGACCTTTGAAGGGAACTTCTGTGTAAAATAAGTTAACGTTAACGGGTTGGAAATGATATCGCAGTTCCATTTCTTATCATTTGAAGCGGCCGATTTGAAACCAGGGCCAGAAATTCAAAGCTGGTTGATAACCAAGAAGTTAGCCCACGAACGCAGATGTATTTCCGAGCGCTATCGCTTGTCTTCGACCAATCGAAAAGTAACTTATCATGAGGGGGAGAAGCGACAACCGGAAATACGTCCGGCATCTGGGCCAACAGGAAGCTTGTTTCACTAATGTTTTTTGATTTTGTTTTTGTTAAAATTTGCGTACGTAATAATAACACTCAAACACCGGGATCGGAAATAACAGTAGTTTTGTATCAAAATTATTTCAAAATCAATTAGGACGGGTTGTGTGGACAGGACAGGTTTTCCTAATAGTAAGTTATTTATTGAAAGGTTAACCGCGGCATCGTAAACGACATGTAAATAGTTTGTAAAATAACTGACTCGCTAGAAGACTAAAAAATACTGTCAAATATAAAAAATTGAAAGAAATGTGATTTAGATAAAAATCAAAATAAATCTAGTAGATATGATTAATAATTTACCAAAATATAAAGAATTAAATAATAATAAATCATGCTGTAAATAAGTGAAAATAATGATACTTTCATTAATAAAATACATACAAGACTATGTTTATGTCGTACATACTACACGTCCTTGTTTCAACTCGAGTTAGTCCTTCAACGTGTAGCTTTAAATTAAGTAGCTTTGAATAAGCCTTGTCAAAGTTTTGGAAGCCATCTTGACAAGTAGGCAACCGCATGAGAAATTACAGTGTTTGTATGAGAATCTAATGTCGAATAATTTCCACGAAACATATATCGCGTATAGTAACGCGCGAGTAACACGAGAATAGCCCTCGTTCGATATATTAACATTCTATGACTCCGTGGCTTTCTGGTTAGTTTTCTATATTTGGTTTGATTTTCTTTGTATTCTAGTCTCTTCTAGGAATTGCAAGACAATGGAGTTGTGAAAAATTTGCAGTTTGGACCTTAAAAGTCGGAGTCATGTTAGAATTTTAATATATCGAACGTGTACTATTTCTGGATTTGTCACTCCCTCGCGCGTTATCTCTCGTGTCGCCCACTCGCTCGAGATGAAGATTGCTGACAAGCTACTGTGAAGAACAAAGAAGAATATTGAAAAGAGCTTAAACAATACTGACCCAGCTACTCGACCACTCATCACAAGGCCAAAACCAAAAGAGCTTTGGTGCTGACCATTAGTATCGCAGCTCTAGAAAAGACAATGCTCGCGCAAAAGAATTTAACAAGTGAGGGTAATTGTTTATGACATCACTAAATATTAAAAGCTCACTTTTGGAAGAAGAAAAACGTGACTGAAATTTAACGGAAGATTATATAGAGAGGTTAAGTGATTTTTTTCTTAGAAAAGATTTTTTAGGATGGCACAGATGTATGTGTACAGCTATGAACAGCTAGTGGCAATAGCGAACCAACAAGCAGCTACCATAGAGCAACACGCAGCAGTGATTAACAACCTGCAATCAGAGCGACAGTGGCTGGAAGAGGATAATGATATCCAGAGAGAGGAGTTGGAAAAATCTCAAAAGAACCTCAAGGATCTCGAAACATCGAGAAATTTCAAAGAAAATAAATTGAAGAAAGAGTTAGCGCGGCTTAAGGAATCGCATTATGACATCAAGTGGAGGCATAGGAACGCCGTTAGAGAACTAAGTGGTGAGAAGAAAAGAAATCTCAAGCTAAAAGCCCAGTGCACTTCACTGTTAGATAAGCTTGATCAGAGCACCCAGGAACTTCA